TGATTAAATTTCGGCAAAGTTTGCTTACATTTATATCCACTGTACTTTCTGAACTTGTCATTGATTAAATTCGAGCATAGTTCATGCTTATATAGTTTCAATCGAAGTGAAGTTATTGATTTTAGAGTTTGCCTGGATACTTCCTGTCCGGAATCGCCACACAACCCAGTCTGCTCTCATTAAAAATCGAAGAACAACTTTCGACGATAGATATTTCGTCGCGGGAGCAATTCTAGCAAAACAATAATAAACCCACATCAAAATATTCACGAAGATTCAAAACAAAAATCATAATAATAATTTGACATCGGCTCAAATTAATGATTATCAAGATTTTTTTTATACGAAAACTCTCCTAATTGGATAAAGCCCAACATATCAAAGAAATCAAGTTAGAATTGGGCAACCGCGTCGGGAAGAAGACTCCAGGAGGAAGACGACACTTCTCTTTCTCCCTTCGCTGTTAACTCTTTCTTATGTCGCTTTTCTGTTTCTAGCTCTCTTTTTTTTTCTTTTTTCCTCTCTATCTTTTTAGCCTTTCTTGCTTCTGAGTACGGAAAGAGACCCCCTCACTTGTCCCTATGAACACCTTTCATATGCAAAGTAATTGCCAATTGGGCCTCTCAAGGAAAGAACCAATAATTCTTTCGTCTTTTAGTGCTGGCCGAATATGCTTTGATCTTTCGATTTAGTTGATCGGCTGCTTTGATCTTTGACTCCAGCTATTTTATTGAAACTTAGGTGAAACTCACCTGGTTAACGCTTCATGTCGAGTTGATTCATGCCGGCCAGTTCTGGCCTTTTAGGCAAGACCGGGCAGAAGTGATAACTAGCTAGCTAGGTGCGTTGGTTGTACGTGGCCATCTTTGGCTTATTATGCATAATCAAAACAGATAGAGAAAATTAGTGGAAATATCTGACATATCTCTATAAGATATCTAAATATCTCTAACATTATGGTTGGGCGCCGGGTGCTGCATGAACTATCATGCTACACCATTTCGTTGTCCATCAGAGGGTTTGTCCACGGACATTGATGCAAAGACTTATTACATCAAACACACGTTATTGGAAAAGCCTCTTTTTCGTCTTCCACAAACAATCTTTAGATAGTCTATACAAAGAACATATAAACTCCTAAATAAATTATGTGTAATACTTTAACATTCCCTCTTATATGTAAACCGGATTAGAAATGACACGTGGAATTTGACAAACGGTGCCACACACACGAAATAAGTTGGAGCTGAATCTATTATGATATTGTGTTAGAGAGTCCAAACTAAAAGTTTAAACTTATAGGTTAATGGAAATCAAATGTATGTAAAAAACTTATGAATCCCTTAGGCAAACGATGTAAGATACTTTAATAAGCTCTACTATGTACATCTATGATATCGTGCCACACCCCTTATGATATTGTCGCGTCCGATGTGTTGCCATTTTTTAGGTGGTTCGACATTGGAGGTTATGTTAAGGCGATGAAGAGGATGGCCAAAGAATTGGACGATGTGTCCGGAGGGTGGTTGGATGAGCACAAGCACAAGAGGGCTTGTGGGGGAGGTCGAAGGTGACCGAGATTTCATGGACGTGATGCTTTCCATTCTTGGTACTGCGGACGAGCTGCCCATCTATGATGCTGATACTATCAATAAAGCCACTTGTTTGGTGAGTTTTCCTAATTTGAAGAAATTATTTTATGACCCGTACTTATATTATAAGTGAATCTGAACCATTAAGTACGAATGGCCATATGTGGATCCCACGTCGATTTCATCAGAGGGGATGGTCTCGAATTCAACCTATCATGTGTACTAGGAAAATTATCAAAAAAATTATAAATTAATTGTATTTGTGGCAATTTAGTTCTAAATTTTTAAATTTGATCAATTTAGTTCTAAACTTTTTGAAGATTTGCCAATTCAGTCTTAAACCTTTCAATTGGGTCATTTTAGTTTCAAAACTTTTAATAGTCTGCCAATTTAGTCCTAACTCTTTTGACCATTTGCCAAATTAGTCCTTCCGGTTAATTTTGGCTGGAAATCGCTGACGTGGTGGTCTAGTCAACGTCGGCCATCCTACGTGATACAGTCGGCAGTTACATGGATAATTTCAAAAAAATTAGACTTTTATGAAATTTTTTCTTTTTTTCTTTTTTTTCTTTTTTTTTTCTAACCCTAGGCCAACAAGTTCACCGGCAATCCTCACCGGTCATAGGTGAGGGCTAGGGACCATAGGGGAGGGTCGGCGACCCTCGTCGGCATGGTCCAGGACCTTAGCGCCCTCAAATCCAGGCATGAGTGAGGATTAGTCAATGACCTTGGCGGCATAGGGTTAGAAAAAAAAAAGGAAAGAAAAAAGAAAAGAAGAAGAAACGAAAAGAATAAAAGAATAAAAAATTCAGAAATTTAAAAAAAAAAATTAAAAATTATCCACGTTAACACCGGCTGTGTCACGTAGGATGCTCGGTGATGACTAGACCGCCACGTTAGCAATTTCCTGCCAAAATTGGCTACAAGAACTAAATTGGTAAATCGTTAAAAGTTTAGGACTAAATTGGCACAATTAAAATGTTTGGACTAAATTGCCAAATTGAAAGGTTTAGAACTCAATTGGCACAAATACAATAGGTTGATAACTTTTCCCATGTAATTTCTTCTCCCAACCGATCATTGCTTAATACTAACTATTTTTTTTTGCTTAATAATTCATCTGTATTCTTTCATGTACTAAACAATCATATTTCAAGAATCGTTTCTCTAGTGAAAGGCACCTTTACACCTGAAGTTCAAATCGACGACAAAGCCAAAGAAAATTGATCAAAAGTCACAAATATCTCAACCACCCGTCAACTTCCGTGCTCTAATCTGCAGTGTTTGAATTAAATATTTCTGAAATTTCGGGAATTTCTTCCGCATAATGTTATAAAATTCTTCTTTAGGACCAGTCCTTCGGTCCAACGTTGGACTATGCAGATTGCCGTGTGGTATCATCCAACTCATTGACGTCAAAGGTCACTCTTATAAGTTATTATGGAAGTCATTTTCACTTGGACTTCTAACAAAGAGCCAAAAGATGATAATATTTATTATTGCCGTCAAAGATCATGTCTAGATTCATGTTAAGTACCCAATGTGGACCGCAAATTCAATTCGTCAGTCGTAAAAACATTTGCTGGGAACTTGTGGTTCACGAATAGAATAAAAGAAAACTATATCTGAATCAAGTCGCGAGAAGAAGGTATGACTATTACAGCCAAAAACATCATCCTTACTCTAACTATAACTAAACTAAGTTTAGATGTATTAGAAATTGTCAGTTTGGTTGCATCAGTTATATATTTACTTCAATAATGACATGTATAGAGAACAACTGCGTATGTATTTTCCTAGGCACTTATATCGGGAGGCACAGACACCACGTCAGTCACATTAACATGGGCTCTATCCCTTCTGCTCAACAATCGACATGTCTCTCTTTTTTTTTTTTCTTTTTTCCTATCTATCTTTTTAGCCTTTCTTGCTTCTGAGTACGGAAAGAGACCCCCTCACTTGTCCCTATGAACACCTTTCATATGCAAAGTAATTGCCAATTGGGCCTCTCAAGGAAAGAACCAATAATTCTTTAGTCTTTTAGTGCTGGCCGAATATGCTTTGATCTTTCGATTTAGTTGATCGGCTGCAGTAGGAAAATAAGATCCTCTTTTATTTAATTTTCTTTCTTCTTTTCTTATTGCAAATAATCTTCTTTTGTTTGGCCGACTCTTGTCTATGAAAGAGATATCTCAAAATATCATCTATTATCTTTCCTCATATTTTGACACCCCTTACGGATTGCTTCAGATTACTCCAAAATCTTCTCGTCTAAGTATTTACGGCAATATTCCGCCATAAAGATTTTCGTTTGGCTAAAATTAAGTTCAACACTATTCACTTAAACCCATCCGTCGCCGGTTCAATTAACGTGCAAACTATATGGGCATTCACTACTAATCCAAATGCCCTAATATTTGTATGCAATTTAACTAATATTTTTTGTTTAGGAGCCGGGATCGATCTCTAATTTTTCTATGCAATAAATAACTAAATTGATCGTTAAAATTTAGGTGTTAAGACAGAGTATGTGCACTCATCCTAGAGATAAACTACATCTCTAGAGTTTGTGAAGAGTCCTTTGCACATTTTGTTTTTCACCTAGACAAACCCATTCTCTCTAAATACAATCATTTCTTGTGTTCTTACAAGTGGGTTTTACACTCTTGCTAACTCCGTGGATCATCACTTTATTGATTGCAATGCGACAGTCACAGAAGTGGACTCAAGAACACTATAAATGCTTAGATTTATCAATTCGAAGCACTTGTCGACTAAGTTCTCCTCATCGTTTGGTCTTCTTGTAGGAATTCACATCATGTGCGGATTCAAATTTCACTGAATGCATAAACATACTCGGGACTTGTAATAAATAAAAATCCTCTGTGATGATTTCTATACAAACGTATTCCATTCGGAACTTGTAATAAATAAAATCCTAGGAGGAGAAATCCGTTTATGTAAAATTATGCAATCGATGGCCCTTGTCACGGTGTCGGGCACTAAATGAAATTGACTATCAAAATCTAGAAAAGCAAGATCCGTGGTAAAATATATATATATATATATATATATATATATATATATTTTATTTTATTTTTTATGACCCAGGAACCCCCCGCACGGCCGACAGCCGGAGGGGTAAACCTGGGGTGACGCTAGCGCAGGACCCACCACCACGGCGCCACACTTAAGAATCCCTAACGACTACGTTGGGGTTCGAACTCTGATCCCTTCGTGGGGGGATGAGAGCGCAAGCCAACGCAGCCGCTGCGGGCGGTGGTTCCGTGGTAAAATATTAATATCCAAGTGTCCCAATTTTCTTCAATACTTATCTTGCGGGCCATGCCTGCTTACCAATGTATTGGTCTAGCCTTACTTGATTGCGTGTATGGAAGAGAATTTAATTAAATCGGAAGATTTAGATGCAGTGTGTCTTCAAGTGAAATATGTATCAATCTCCCCCAAGCTCTTATCCTATCCATGTATATATATCTCCACAACCCTTCTCTTCATTCACAAACATGGAGTCCTCTTTCTCGTTCCCAGCCGCTGCCCTCGCCGGCACGGTCTTTGCCTTCGCAATCTTTTTCTATTGCTTTGCCTCCCTACTGATAAGAACACAAAATAACAGAGGAAGCATTGACGGCCGCAAAGAAGCCTCCTTGCCTGAAGCCGGCGGCGCGTGGCCTTTGATTGGCCATCTCCATCTCTTAGGAGGCCCGGTGCCACCCCATATAGTCCTAGCAAACATGGCTGACAAGTACGGGCCAATCTTCACCGTCAAGATGGGTATTTATCGAGCGTTGATAGTTAGTAATTGGGAGATAGCCAAGCAGTGCCTTACCGTGAACGACAGAGTCTTTGCGACTCGACCCAAGTCTGTTAGCTCCGAGGTCATGGCCTACAACTATGCCATGTTTGGTCTTGCTCCCTACGGCCCTTATTGGCGCCATGTGCGTAAGATTGCCATTCTGGATCTCCTCTCTAACCACCGGTTGGAATTGCTCAAGCACCTTAGGGAATCAGAGGTCCAAGCATCAATAAACCACATATATAAGCGATGTGTGGAAAACTACAGTGGCGCACCAAAGAAGGTGTTGGTGGACATGAAGCGATGGTTTGGTGACATAACTCTAAATGTGGTGTTTAGGATGATAGTTGGGAAACGATATGAGGACGAACGAGACGAGAAGGGTCGACAGGCTTTTAGGGACTTCTTTGATTTAGCGGGGAGGTTCGTAGTGTCCGACGCGTTCCCGGTTTTAAGGTGGTTGGATTTGGACGGGTACGAGAAGATGATGAAGAAGACGGCCCAAGAGCTAGACCGTGTGGTTCAAGGATGGCTAAATGAGCACAAAAGCAGAAGAAACACTAAAAAGGGACATGGTAGTAACAAGGACAATGACCAAGATTTCATGGACGTGTTGCTCTCCAGTGTATATGCTACCGAAGAACTTCCTGATTACGATGCCGATACCTTCATTAAAGCAACATGCATGGTAAGTTTATTTAGCATAATCATTACCCCACTTTTATTTAGCATTTGATATGGTGGATTTGATTTTTCCGAAATTCACAAAATAGATTTTTGTGTACATAACTTGTATAAACGTCTAAGTTTTGTTTTGTATAGACAGAGTCCCGGAGGCATGCCGTGTGTTTTCTATAGCTTTTTCCTAGATTTCAAGAGCCAACTTTTTCCCCCACTTTAAATGATCACATGGCATGCATAAGAAGCTTTACGTGCACTTTGTCATTCGGGCATAAAAGTAAAAATTGCCTCGTAGGCACACTGGTCCTTTGGTTTGCCTGTCGCATTAGGATAGACTTCTGGCATAGTATGCATTGGGATCAGATCACGCGATAGTGGCTCTGGATTCAAAATCTCTCAGCCACAAAAACAAGAAAAAAACAATTATCTCGCAACCAATAATAAGAAAAGAAAAAAATTCTGAATTCGGATCCAATAAGACAATCCCTTCAGGTCAGGGAAAAGAGATAGGACAATGATGCCAATGTCGATAAAATGGCTAGGTTCTTTCCCTCCACTCGTAACAAATCAAATAATGTAATTCGACTATATAAAGGTGGCATATAACACGCAGTAGCGGGTCTAACTATTTTTTTCTAATAAAATTTGCAGTTGCATGAAAAAAAAAAAACGTTCCTTGAACTTAAGGTGTATTATGAAGCATTCAATATTTACTAATGCGTCCGATCAATTCGTGTCTCGTAAGTATTTTGAATGGAAGTAACGTATCACCAACTTTTTCAGTTATAAACTAAACGGATAATGTCATTACCCTGTGGATGTGATATAATTTTGTTCTATGTTATTGGTGTAGGTCACCAACATATTTGTTAAACCATTTGACAAGAGATTAAACATAAGTACCGATCCTTATTTTACAACTAAGGCATCAAGATTCGTCATTCTAGTCATTGACAATCCGTTACTTTGCAGGCACTCGTTTTAGCTGGTTCAGACACTACCACAGTTTCTCTGACATGGGCCTTGTCTTTGTTACTCAACCATCGTGAAGTCCTAAAGAAGGCCCAACATGAACTTGATACTCATATCGGCAGAGAAAAGCCGGTCAAAGAATCGGACCTCAAGAATTTGGTCTACATCCAAGCCATCATCAAGGAAACCCTGCGTTTATACCCGGCAGGTCCACTTGGCGTCCCGCATGAGTCCATGGACGACTGCACCGTGGATGGCTATCACGTCCCAAGGGGCACTCGTCTCCTCTTTAACTTATGGAAGATCCATCGAGACCCACGCATATGGTCAGACCCTCTCGAATTCCGGCCGGAGAGATTCTTGACCACCCACAAAGATTTCGACATCCGAGGTCAGAATTTCGAGCTGATACCATTCGGGAGCGGCCGGAGAATGTGCCCCGGAATCAATTTAGCCATGCAAATGATGTCGCTGTCCCTTGCCGCTCTTTTGCAAGGGTTCGACATTACGACATCGGCAGATGAACCGGTCGACATGGCCGAGGCGATCGGAATGACAAATCTCAAAGCCACCCCACTCGAAGTCCTTGCAACTCCACGCCTTCCCGAGCACGCATACCAGTGACTCTCCTCTAGAAATGATGAAATGCTCACGCTCTGCATCAGAAGCGCCTCTCTAGCTTGTTCCCACTTAGGTGGTGGACCATGTTTCTAAAAATAAATTGAAGTCAGTACTGATGTATTGATAATTTGTTAATCGATAGTTACACTATGGAGCATGTTTGATCGGCGAGGGTGATGTCAAGTTTCGTGATTTACTTTTTGCGTTTAATGGTGGTCATTGAGCATGCTGATGTGTTAGTATAATGTGGAATTACGTCTACAGAACATAGCTATAATTTTCTTTCAAGAACTCGACTTCCCATAGATTCATAAAAAATGAAAGTGTCCAGAAAATCAAAGATTTCCATCATGAATAATTTGAACGTGATATGTTTGCATAATAAAAGGCACCTTCAAAAGCTGAAGTCTAAATTCCCGACAAGGGCAAAGAAAATCGATCAAAAGTCACAATCATCTCAACTACCCAACTTCTGTGCTCTAGCCGAGGTTTTTGAATTAATACTTCTACACTTTCAGGAATTTCTTCATAATATTTGAATATTCTTCTTTAGGACATTGGGCCAAACAGATTGCCAAGTCGCCCTTTGATATCATCGAATTCAATGATGTCAAATCATTTCTACAAGTCATTGTTGTCGTTTGGACTTCTAACAAAGAGCCAAAAGATGATGATATTTATTATTGCCCTCAAAGATCGTATCTAGGTACATATTAAGATCCATGCGGACCACAAGTTCAATATGTCAATGTTAAAAACATTTGCTGGGAAGAACGCACGATTTTCATAGAAAAAACCATCAACCTTACTCTAACTATCGCTAACTTACATTTAGGGTGCGTTTGTTTGAGAGAAAGTGCTTTCCGGAAATTTGTTTTCCGAACTTTCACCCGTTTGGTTCTCCGAAAATGATAAGTCAAAAGAAAGCACTTTCCGATCAAGGTAAAACTTTCATGTATAATATTAGAAGAGTGAATTTCCCATCTGAGGAGGTAAAAATACTTTCCAAATTTGTTGCTCTTAACTTTTTTAATTTTTTTTCTTTCATGTTTTCTTTTTTTTCTTTTTTTGTTTTTTTTTCTTATTTCTTTTTCTTTTTCTTTTTTCTTCGCTCTGCCGGTCGCTGGCCGACCACAGGCAAGGTCGGCGAGCTGGTGTAAGGTCGCAGCTCGCCGGGATCTGGCGAGCCTCAAGCTCACTGGCCTCGCGCGAGCTCGCCAAATCCCGGCGAACCCCGACCTCGCACCGGCGAGACTTGACCTTGCACAAGGCTGGTGAGCTCAAGGCTCGCCTAATACCGATGAGCTCGAGCTCGCCGGCGTGAGCGGGCGAGCTATGACCTCGCTAGCCTCGCGCGAGCCCGACGCTCACCAGATCCGGATGAGCTCGCGACTCGCCAGATCTAGGCCAAAACGAGCTCGGTTGATCCCAACGAGCTCACAGCTTGCCAGATCCAAGCGAGCTCGGGCTCGGCCGAGGTCGGCAAGCTCAATCGCTTGTGGCCGTCATTAGGTGAGCTTCCAGCGCGCCTGTGACCGTCGACAACCGATCGGTCGCAGCGGAGGAAGGAGGAAAAAAGTAAAGGAAAGAAAAGAAAAAAGAAAAGAAAAGAGAAAAAAAAATTAAAAAACTGATTTTTTAAAAATAAAATAATTAAAAATTCGATTTTTTTAAAAATAATTAAAATTAAAAATTAAAAATTTGATTTTTTTTGCCTAAAATAAAATCATGATATTGAAATTATTTTCTAATAAACTCAAAACATTAGAAAACAATTTCGACCGTATATTACTAAATAAAAGAAAACTAACCATATTCCTGGAAAATGCTTTTTCAGGAAACCACTTTCCGTTATCATTGAATTTTCCGTGAAACAAACGTACCGTGATGTGGTAACGATTGTCAATTAAGTTGCAAAAGTTATATACTTAAAAGAATAACTGTGTATGTGCCTCGGAGTGTCCTTCGCTCTTCCAATGTTGCAAATTGCGCTTGCAAGTTTGCTGCATGGTTTCGAGATAGAGACTGCATCGGGTGGACCAATAGATATGGGGGCAAGTATGGGAATAACTAGCCCTAAAGTTACCCCTCTAGAAGAGACTCTTGCCGGGAAAATTATCTTAAACCAATTGCACTTTGGCCAATTCAATTTTATATCTTTCAATTTTGCCAATTGAATTATAAAAATATTTCATGTTTTGCCTATTGAGTCCATTTGGCCAATTTTGGTCAGAAATGGCTGATGTGGATGCAAGCCATTCTACGTGGTAAGATCAGCATTGATGTAGACGTTTTTTAAAATTATTTTAATTTTTTTCTTATTTGTTTATTTATTTCCTTTTTTTCTTTTCTTCTCTATTCCTTCTTTTTTTTTCCCTTTTTTATTATTTTCTTTTTTCTTCCTTTTTCTCTCCGTCGGGCCTCGTCAATGGACGATGAAGGTCGCTGACCTCAATGGAGAGCCGCCCTTGCTAGCCTCGGATGAGCAATGTCGATGCCTGTGCTGGAGAGGGCAATCCTTCACCAAATCGAGCAAGAGCGACGGTGGCCCTTGCCAGCCCAAGCTCGGGCGTCCCTTGCCAAAGGTTGGCGAGGGCGGCCCTAACTTGAGGCCGGCGGGTCGCCAATTATAAATTAGGCTTGGTTGTGGGCCGGCAAAGGGAAAAAGGTAAAAAGAAAGAAGAAAATGAAAAGAAAAAAAAAAGAAAAAAAGGAAAAGGAAAAGAAAAGAAAAGAAAAAATAAAAAGTAAAAAAATTGGAAATATATTAAAATATAAATAAAAATTATCCACGTCAGTACCGGCTGTTATACATAGGAAGGTCGGCGTCTACATTATCGATTTCTAGTCAAAATTGGTCGGATTGACCTAATTAACAACATATGAAAATATTTGAAATTCAATGGGCACAATTAAAAGATTTATGAATTGAAGACTTTTTGACAAAATCGCTCCACGACTTCCTCTATGTCTCTATCTCTAAAGTTGGTAGGGTGCGATAATCGTCAGCTTTATTATTAGGAAGAGGGTGCATTCGTGTTTTGTTGCGAAAATATGCATCTACTTACGATGAATCTAATGAGTACAACAGAAAATTTTCACTTCGATAATAGAAATGATTGCTATAAAACCAGCTTTTCTTGCAAATAGATAACTCTAAATAGAAAAATGTCAGTACATAATCAAATGCGCCCATTTAGTTGTAAACTATATTGGCGAAGAAATTCATAAGCTGTATCGATTTTTAAAAACAACACACAAACTAAAAATGATAACAAAAAAAAAAAACATGATAAGTGCTTGGAATGGCAAGTGCTTTGAGGTAAGAGAAGCAAATAAAGACAATCTAGGAGGATTTCTACTTAAATAGTAATAATTTGACCAAAGAACCAAAATTAGAATGACTTTTAAGAAAGAAAATTTTATCATTAATAGTAATAATTTGACTAAAGAACCGAAATTAGAGCTCAATGAAGCTAATGAGTAGTACAGTTTTTGGTAAGAAAAATATGGATCACATTCACAGAATGTATGTATGGACTTGGAACATGTAAAAAAAATCCTTCGTGTTGATTTTCTAAATAGCACATTCGACGATCCTTGTCACTATGTGGAGCAGTAGATGATATTGCCTAGCAAAATCTTAGAAAGCAAGATGGGCAATCAGTGGGGACTCGGAATTTAAGAGGCCGAACGACATATAATGTCTCAATTTTCTTCGATGTTACCCATGTGCTTACGTCTATAATTTACTAAGTCCAGATATATTACTGCAGCACCGGGGAACGACGAATCTGCAGTCACACCCATATTTATCTCGTGGCCTAATATAGGGAAAAATTATCATAAAAGTAACAAATTTATTGCACTTTCGTCAATTTAATTCTAAACATTTCAATTGTGCAAATTGAGTCCATCTGAGCAATTTTGATCAGAAAACGCTGACGTGGCGCCCATTGTCCTATGTGGCTTATCGACGCTGACGTGGACAGTTTTTTACAATTTTTTATGAATTGTTTTCTATTTTTTTTTTGTGTTTTCTTTTCTTTTTTGCTAATGCCTGGCCAACGACGATAGCCAGAAAGGGCTCGGCGAGGTCACACTCGCCTGATCTAATGAGGGCCGCCCTCACCGGCCACAGGCGAGGGACGGCCTCACCTGGGTGAGGGTCTCCCCTGCCCTACCCTGGCGAGGCCGCCCTTGACGACCATGATCATGCGAGGGTCAGCCTCACCTAGACGAAGATCATCCTCACCCAATATGGCAAAGGATGGCCTTGCTAGAGTAAGGCCACCCTCAATGGCCACAAGTAAGGGCTGGCCTCACCCACAGCCGGTGAGGGCCGTGATGCCCTTGCCTAGTGCTAAGGGTGCCAACACTCGGTCAAAGAAAAGGAAAGAAAACAAAACAACAAAAAAAATATAAAAATAAAATATTTTAAATTTTTGACTATGTCAGCGCCAACCGTCCTGCTGACAATGCCACGTAGGACGATTAGCGTCCACGTCAGCAATTTCGGACCAAAATTGATTTGATGGATTCAATTGGCAAAATATGAAAATGTTTAGGACTCAATTGGCACAATTAAAATGTTTAGGATTAAATTTGCAAAAGTACATTACTTTGATGACTTTTTTGGTAATTTTCCCTTAATATACTAGTCGAGCATTATTTAGTGCAGGTTAGCAGAGTAGTATGCATCCATCAATGAAAATTTAATCCAATCAAGGAACTAAAAAATCCCAAGCTTTGGATTTTACATCTCTCTCCAAAAACCTTCTCCTCATTCACTAACATGGAGTCCTCTTTCTCGTTTCTAACCACAGCCCTCATTGACATGATCTTTGCCTTCGCAATCATTCTCTACCTGAAAGGCATAATGGGTGGGTCACCCAAGATGGGCCAAACCCGGCCCACAAACCACAAAGGCCCACAAGGTAGTTATTTGCCTCTTACTATAAATAGTAGACCCCCTTCGAAAATCAACGTGATTTTTCACATATGCGTAATAACACACCTCTTCGAAAGTAACATCTTCTTTGGTTTTCCTTCGGAATGCTAGTGGATATGAAAGACGATCGAAGATCACTCTCAAGTGCAAAGTGGCATTTAATATATGGCAATATCGAGTATGTTCGTTATGTGATATGCCTATACGATCGGTGATACAA